GGATACTGTTGTGCTAGTACCAGTGTGATTCAGTGCTTACGTGGCGTCCGTGATTCGTATTTCGTGATAAGTACACACTACAATTACTACAATTTGGCGTCGCGCGATGTAGGTTTCAACCATTGAACAATTGAACCTGCATACCAGTCCATCCGAGATGGAGGAGTGGCTCGAGCGATGCGAGATGTGGTGTACTATTAGAAGAGGTGGCGCAAAAATCCAGTCAGTCCTATTTCTCACTACCGGCGGCCATACCTTGACTCCCTGCTGAGAAACCTGGGGTTTCCTGAGGCTCCGGCTAAGCTACCATACGATTCCCTGAAGACGCTGCTGCTCGACCACCGGCTGCCCACTGAGTTCCAGGCACATGAACGGGCTAAATTCAATTCGTTGATTCGTTCCGAGCATGTTCCCTACCGTGATTTAATTCTGCAGTTGAACAAGCAAACATCGCGGTGATCGGTACGTATTAATTCATTAAATTCAATTCCTTCAATAAACAAACATTATTTCTGTGTCGGGAGATTTCAGCACATAATTACCAGTACACGTTTGTCTTTCGATTACGTTTTCGTTTCCGATTTCTCATCCGCGCATACTTTCGGCACTCCTGAAAGTTTCGACAACTGCAGAATTGTAGTTCACTCGGATAAGTTGAACCTCGGAACAGAATTATTGGTGTTGTTTAACAAAAACAAGCAGAAGAGCAAATTTTCAACAAGAAGTACACATTTTTAGGGTTCCTCTAAGTCTGGGAATTCTTACATGTTTCCAGCGTGAAAAGTAAACTTACCCATATACTGAAAATTTTTCAAGTAGTAGAGCAAATCATTCATTGTTCCGTTTTCCGGTGTAGACTTGGAAATCAAGCTGCAGTTCTGTTTGGAGCATCGTTTCAACGCCTCGGCTACGGCATACAACGAATTGGCCGTATTCTGCACATAGTACAGGGCGTCTGATGCATGCATATACACAAAAAAGTCAAATGGATTATTAGGCCCAATATAGGAGCAAATTTAAAAACACGCGAGAATGTCACATGTGAATTGAAAAGCAAACACCTCATACTTCCTGCTCAACATGATCGAAAACACTTTGACAAGAAACACAATGGATACGGTGTTTATTCATTTTCCTAAACGCATTCAGTTACCGCCATAAAAATGTGCATATTGATCGTACAATTGCTCTATATAATGGATAAATTATGACAGTGGCACGCATTTCTAAAAGCCTTTGTTTTTTAGTTTTTCATTTATCCTTATTAAAAATATGTCATTGGTTTTTCTGCCAATAATCAGGAAATATGGGCTGACTACGTACGATTCTAGCTCGCTGTACCGTCATCCAAGCAAACTTGGATTTGCCCATCAGGACCACAGTTTCGGTTAAACACTTCTGTTGGAGGAAGCGGATGGTGAATTATCGTAGCATAGACGATGAAAAAAGGTTGAGTAGTTCAGAAGGCTCAGTGTGCAGAAAAAAGTAATGAGTTAAGGATTGCCGCTGGTAGGTTCAGGAAACCTGGCTGCTACATAGGCATTCGTCTACCAGTTCCCATTGCTAGTCCAATCATGTGACACAGTTGCTCATTTCAGATATTGACTTATACCTCTCCAATCCGTTTTGTCCGTGAGCCAGCTTGACCTAGTTTCAGGCCATGGTTTAATCGATTGATGTATTCTCACGACCATTCATCAAATAACTAACCCAGTTCCGATCAGCAGTTACCAACCTGAGACATCTACGGCACCGTCGCGACATCCGGTTGTCTGTGAAGGGTCGAGTGTATGCTGCAGCTATTAGGCCAGTCCTCCTCAACGGTGCAGAGATTTGACCACTACGGGAACAAGATTGTCGGTATTCGAACACCGCTGTCTACGTCGCATTGCTCGAGTTTGGTGGTGTAACCAAACGAGCAATGCTGTGGTTAGGCGTAGAGTTTTAGACATTCGCAATCGTCCACTAGAGCAAGTACTCGACCTTCATAAGTTACGCTGGTTGGGACATGTGTTACACATGTCCCCAAATAGGTTGCCACGGCGAGCGATGTTTGCCGCTGCAGGTAGTGGTTGGAAAAAGATCAAGGTCGGTCAAACCAGGACCTAGCGTGAGGGTATGAAAACCCTAACCAGGAGACTGGGTCACATAGGTCCCGTTAGACTCTCTGGCTGGGGACCCCGAGATGACAGTCACCGACGATTAGAGACACTGAGTGAAATGGAGTAGGTGTCGGAAACAGTGGGGTTCATGCATGTATTCATCATTTTCGTAACACCACTCAATATGAATTGGCTATCTTCCGCTTGAATTTGCTCTCAACATTCTAATCTTCATTCTGCTCTTTTATTCAAATAGGCAACCAAAGGACAGTAACCAAAACCGGCGCACGAAAGTGCACGGTTAATGGTTGTAAGAACTGAACTGAACTGAGCTGACAAGCACGTTCCAACGTGTGTTATGATTTCTGATTCCATAGACAGCCAGATGTCGCAACGGTGCCGTAGATGTCTCAGGTTGGTAACTGCTGATCGGAACTGGGTTAGTTATTTGATGAATGGTCGTGAGAATACATCAATCGATTAAACCATGGCCTGAAACTAGGTCAAGCTGGCTCACGGACAAAACGGATTGGAGAGGTATAAGTCAATATCTGAAATGAGCAACTGTGTCACATGATTGGACGGGCCCTTAAAATACCGCACACGGAATCGCGGTTGGAATTCGGTTTCAACACTTACTTAACTACACCTTTTGCAAGTCAAGTTGTCCCTGTATCAAATCCAGGTGTCCGGGACTCATTTCAAACTGTCCCCGGATTATTTCAAGCTGTCCTGCGATTATTTCAACCTGTCCCGGTATCATTTCAAGATGTCCCCAGATTATTTCAAGCTGTCGCATTGACCTCAACGGTGCTGACAAGCCTCCCAGCGATGTCTGGATGACTACCATG